CTTTTCACTTGCTGGTTGCTGCAGGGGGGCTGAGGAGATAATGTTTATTACAGTTAACACTGTGTTGGCAGGTCTCGTTATCAGTTGTAAACTAGATTAGAAAAGTGCCTGTCCTAACAAATGGTTTAAGATATAGGAGCCTGGCTTCTGCTTTGTGTCTTAATGAGAGCGAACGCAGTCTGTACCCCTTTGTCTTGGGGACCCCCTCACTGTAAAACTGTAAATGTAACAACTGTTCTGGAAATATCAACTACACCGTTGCTTATTCATAGGAAATCTTAGCCTTAGGCATGATGGCTGGGATGGTAATCAATTAGAAGGGCAGTGACATTATCATTATCACATCTCTGGTTCCCTAGTGGAAGTTCCATAGGAATGTATAGAATATACACTGAGTGGCCAGATTATTATGACCACCTGACGTGTGTAGGCAATTTAGCTATAATTAGCTATAATTTCGCACTGAAGTTGCTAGAGGGCCAGACCATTATAAATAGGGAAGCAGGTTGTTTACCACGACAGTAGAAGTGATTTTTTTCTGAAGATATGGGTAAACAACGCAATTTAACAGCCTTTGAACGTGGGATTATTGTTGGTGCTCGGAGCCATGGAGCGAGTATCAGCAAAACAGCAGAATTCGTTAAATGTTCAAGAGGAGCTGTTGTTAAAGTGTTTAAAGACTGGACTGTCAGCCGAAAATCTGGGTCTGAACGTGCGAATTGTGGCCGTCAGTGACTAGTCAATGTTAGGGCAGAACGGAGAGTGGCAAGACTGGCACAAGACAACTAAAGGGCAACAGTGCAGTGTCAGATTCCTCGCATCACCTTTCAACATCTCGTGGAGTCACGAGGTGGCCCAACGAAGTCATCTCGTGGAGTCATCTCGTGGCCCAACGAAGTACTGATGGTGTGGTCATAATAGTCTGGCCACTCAGTGTACATTAAATGTATAGAATATGTTAATTAAATGTCCTATCTCCCCTCATAGAGGGGAGATAGGACATTTAATTAACAGCATTGGCTGTCATGGGCATGCCAAAGTATGCTGTTAAAATACTATAAAAAACATGGGTTAGTGTTCCATATTGATAAGAAAAGTAACAAATTCCTAAGTACATACATTTGCTCAAGCAGCCTTCTTTAAATATATGCACAGCTTATATATCTACAGTATTTGTAAAATATATACAACAAATATATCTTATTTATATGTGTTACTGTAAAACAATTTCCCATTGCTGAAAACATAAAAGCATTTGATTAAAGCCAATCAAAAACATTGAACTGGATAAAGATAAATATAAAACAAGCACCTTACAAAAATATTAAAAAGTTGAGTTTTGGGCCACATGGGTAATTCTACTCACTGAGCACTTTTTTAGGAATACCTATGCACCTGCTTATTAGCGATGTGTGGGGGCTTTCTGCAAGTTCACACAAGCCCGCACAAAACTGTCACTGACTCCCTTCCTAGCCCAATCAGTTGTGGGCAGGGTATTTTCTGCCCCGTATGCCTCTGCCACAACTGATTGTGTCTGGAGAGGGGTGTGTCAGTGACAATTGTGCAATAAGCCCCTGCACATCATTAATGCTTATTCATGTAATTATCTAGAAGCAAAAAAAAGGAGAAAAGTGGGGCTTTTCAGGTGTCATTCTAGGCATGGAACACATATATTGCACATTTCGCTGTTAAAAGTTCATTTTATTGTACAAATAATATAAATAAATATATTACACACCTATATCATCTTCCTATACATAATATAATATAAAATATAAAATCACAAAGCGCTTATAACCTTAAGCCTTTTGTGGCCCCCATATATACCCCCATCATTTTTAGATGGGGGTATATATGGGGGGATACTACTATTTGTTTGAGGCAGTGTTTATATGTATGGATCACGCAAACTAACTATGATTAGCCACAATTTTTCAATTTTATATATATACATTTTTTCATATCCTATTGTAATTTGCAGTATGGAGGGATGGAAACCAGCCTCTTATCGCCGTAGCTCCTGATTTAGCCCCTCACTCCCTATGTCATCTGGGCAATGGTTCTGTTCTGTTGGAGATATGGACTGAGTTACCACTAAGACCCAGCAAAAAGGTTGTAAATTTTTTCAATGTCGTTCATTATGTGATACAAAAATAATTTTGTGTCACTACTTAGGATAGTTATGTGTAGTTACACCTATGATCTTTAAATATTACAGGCAGCCTCCTATCTTCCTGAGGAAGCTTTTTAGTGAAACGCGTAGAAAATTGGACCCACAGTATATTGATGCAAGACTTTGTAACAATATGACAATACATGATGAATTTAAAATACATTTATGTAATATTTTTGAATGACTATTGCAATTCCGATGCCCAAAATGTGGCCGTGTGGTCCAGGGAGGTTATAAGCCTTTTGTGATTTTATATTTTATATTATATTATGTATAGGAAGATGATATGGGTGTGTAATATATTTATTTATTTATATTATTTGTACAATAAAATGAACTTTTAACAGCGAAATGTGCAATATATGTGTTCCATGCCTAGAATGACACCTGAAAAGCCCCACTTTTCTCCTTTTTTTTTGCTTCTATTATATTAGGGGTGTGGTGTCCTGGTTTCCCTGGTGGCTCAGAACCGTTTTTTTTGTATTCCATGTAATTATCTAATCAGCCAATCATGTGGCAGCAGCACAATGCATAACATCATGTAGATATGGGTCAGGTAATGTTTGCATCAAACATCAGAATGGGGAAAGATGAAGTGGTAAAAAAATGACAGAAAGGCTACAGTAACTCAGATGTCCACCCTTTACAAACGTGTGAGCAAAAAAGCATCTCAGAAAGAATAAGTCAAACCTTGTGGTAAATAGTCAGCAGCTGTTGGAGTCCAGTACTCCAGGGCCAGGCTGAGGGGTAGGCGAAAGAGGTGCCCACCTTGCAGGAGGCGGATGAAAAAAGGGCAGGATCTGTAACCTAGGCTGCTGAGGTAGTTCACAGCTCATGGAGGGGGGTGCACTTTTGCCTTTACGCAACGGACCTTGCCCCGAGACTGCACTCCTGCCATATCAACATGAACCAGAAATAAATGTTGGTGGCATGTAGGATCCATATTTTAGGCTGTCTTAGGCAAAGGGAGGCCCTATGGCAGATTAGTTTAGTATCAGTAGTGTCCCCAATAACTTGCTTGGTGAGAGTATAACTGGAGTAGGCTTTGTGAGTCAATAAAAAGTGCTATTACATATGCAAAAATGGTATAGCTTTTCCAGAAATGTACTTTTCTTCAGGGATACTATACATGTGACAATCTTTACGATCAACTTAAGATCTACTAAAACTATGTAATATGGGGACCAACCTAATCTATCTAATTGATTTATATCCAGTCGTGCACTACAAAGTTGTTGGTAAATCTAAAGGAGATCGTACAATCAGATTGTAAGGTGTGCAGTGAGCTTTACCCATCCATTTTGATTCTCATCTATGCTCTCATTTCTGTTTTTTTTTCTCAGCTCTTCTGTTTTCCTCTTCTATTGTTGTCTCTCATTTACAGGGGAAATGTACTTTTACATGATTATAGGAATACAGAGGAAATGAATACAGAAGCTCTTTAGCTAAATTAAATATGATATTACATAGATTCCCTAACTGACCTTTACAAATGTGTTTACTCAGAAAGTAGCACTTAAACATTTCTGCTCTTATGGAAAATCAGTATATTGTTCATAAATGAGAAGCTGTTGTCATTACAAAATAAAACCCATCAATGTATTTTCCTATTTTACTTGCAATAGGAAAGCGGTTCATATGTCTGTCCCATGACAGAAACCCTAATTTTACTTTTTGTCTGTGCCCTCTCCTTCCATGACATCATGCTAGAATATGGCACAGCAGAACGGGGAAGATCCTCTTGCAATAGTGGAGACATTTTTCTCTTTTAGACCTACCCAGATTTTACATGCTTGGATGGATGGCCACAGAGAAATCTTAGTTGATATAATCTTTTCACATTTAATATATTTAATTAAATATATATTAATGATATCATTACTATGCTTACAATTCATAAATGGACTTAAATCTATTGGTTGATTGGGCAGCCACATGGCAAACAAGGTTTTAGGGTGGGTAAATGTAACATTATGACAAAAAGGGCTAAAAAAATGCATGCATTATACAATTTAGTGAGGGTAAAATTCGGTGAGTCAATGGTGGAAAAAAATCTGGTAGATAATAAAATAATGCTAATCTGCATCTTCTAGATTGATCCTATGCCCAAGAAACTTTATTTTTTGTATTTAACACTTTCGCTGCCAGGCCACACTTTTCACTTTTCACCACTTTTCACTTGCAGCTTTCAGAGTTTGTAAAATACTCCCTGAATCATATATTTTGTGAAAGCATAGGACACATAGACTAAAGATATGGTGCGACCAGTTTTGTAGGTCTCATAATAGATTGCGCAAATGGTTATCAAAACAATATAAAAATCCATTAAAAGCATTATTAACACAAACAAAAACAATCTAACCTACAAAGTTCCAACAAAAGCTAAAAAAAATTGAGCCTTTTTGTGAAACGGTTAAAATCGAAGCTACACAAAACTGAAAAAGAGCAACTTAAGCTAAAATTTGGAAATTGCCCTCACACCTGTGCATTGTGGTTATGCCTGATCTGCAGAGCTGTGTATGGTCTGCATTGGTGTGTGTATATAAGATATAGTAAAATATTGATCCAGGGAGTAGTCCAATCACTTTATGACACAGGAAGAATCAAATGTTACCTAAAGTATATTGGTTAATAACTTACAAGTATATTTTTGCCTTACTTTGGATTAAGGTTTCCGAGAATGAATGGTCTTTCTTTTCCTCTATTTGCAGCCCTGGGCTATGGGGCTTCCAAGCTCTGCAGGAGAACACAGCTGATGTCAGCTGCCTGAATGTACTTGTTATGCAGAGTATCAGTTTATTTATTTTGTCTACAAGTACACTTCAGAGGATCACTATAGTGAACAATATTGTATTCTGGTAATTGTATGTGGTTAATATCTGTCATAATTCAGAGCCCATTCACACTTTTCCAATGATTGTGGTGCATTAACGGTGCATTAAAGCATCCCATTCTTGCTAATGTCCGTTCTGGCAGAGTAAATGTTAATATTATGCCTCCCTAGCACTTTTTATATTCTGAATACTGTAAACCATGTACATACAGGAATGGTACGGTGAGCCATAGGTGATTGTGTGCAGTTCACATGCCAACTGAAGGATAACCGCAACAAAAGTGTCCAACTGATTTCTGACCATGTTGTTCAGTTTGGATTTGACTCTTTGGTTTTCTATACTTTTACAGTGTTTGAACAATAGATGGCAAAAATCAAAACTGGCTGACTGATATACATTTATGTTAATTCCAGGATTTCCTGCGCTGTATCTCAGCTGCTGTCATTTTTCTGGTAGTCTCCATTGTGGCTGCAGCCCGGAGTTCAGGAGATGGTGGAGCCATTACAGCAGCTGTGAGTACTTATGTGGACGTTTTCTTTTTTTGCTTGCACCTTTTTTTCTGCTCTAAGGTCATTGTTTCTATCTGCAGTAAAACATTATTTTAGTTCATATCTAATAAAGTTATTGCCTTTGATTTTTCTAATTTTTTCATTTCTTTGTATTAGTGAACTGGCATATAAATTAGTGATACTGTCATCTGTGAACAATTGGTTTCATTTTTGCTAATGGTGTTACTAATGGTATTTCAGCTCACAAAGGATTTCTGTGTGTTGCAGTAGATTGGTTCTCAGCATGTGGCACATGTACATCAAGGGGTAGCTCTGACCAATTTATGAGGGACCAACCCTTCCTCGTCAAGTCAAACTTAGTGCATTAGATTAAAAGCTTAGTAGTAGTCAAAGCAGAAGCTGTCAGCCAGAGCAACCTTGGCAGTATCAATCCAATGGAATGATAAAACAAAAACAACAAAATTGTTGCTTTGGTGCTATCCACTTAACCAGCTTTCCATTTAATGTAATTATTTATTCATAGAAAAGGGAAATTAAAGTCAAAAATATTTTTCCTGATTGAAAAACAAAACTAATTTAGGACATTTCCAAGCCTTGATTTGATTTATGACACCCTTAATTTTTTATTTCTATGATTTTACTTTGACTTCCAATGATTGTATAATACATATGTGTGTTGACATCAGCCAACCATATATGTTTTTCCACTGTTCAGACACCTCCGGCACCCACCTTATCTTGTGAGAACAGCAGCAAATGGAATCAAACCCAGATGGTTGATTCTTCCCCATCCAGGGACTAGGGTGTGTCTACAGAACTTGTAGAGGGCCCATAGGTAAACCTTAATTTCCCAGTCCAAGCATAACAAGGTAGATCATTAACCCATGTCTGCGTGCATCTTTTAGACGGCAACAGGGAAATAACATTTCCTAATAGTGACAAATTAAGCAGTACCAAGATAAGCATGCTGATGGGATGAATGAATCATAGACTATTAGCAAAAGACAAAGGGTGACCATTTGGTGCTGTGCATTGTAATGAATCATGCAGACCACCTGAAGATACGTTTCAATTCTTGATTACATTTAACACCTCGATTGAATTTGAATTCTTGCCTAAAAACCTGTAGCTACGTCACTTATGTATGGCTTCTGATCTGAAGGTATAAACAACCAAGAAAATAAGTGTAATGAGTAGTGAGGAGAGTAGTGTACAGCAGCTTTTTTTTTTACCTGCAAGTCCTTAGTACACTGGAATGGGAGAATGATGACTGCTATGCCTAAAATAACCCAAGCAACAACAAACAATATACACTGCTACATTAATACCCTGCTTACAAAATTGACCATCATGAATTTATATAAAAGGTGTGGCTCCTGTGAACAGTTATTCTTAAAAACATTTATTTCCCTATGAAAAGAGCTTTAGAACAAAGGACAAACCTTGATCAGTTTGGTGTCAATACACTTTGTCAGAGTTCAACTGACTCAATTGAAGTATAAATTAGGCAAAGTGCCTGAAGATGGCTATAGACTCTTAAGGTGCCCATACACTGCTCAATTCTCGTACAAGAATCGCGGGAAATCCCGCGATCGTACGAGAATCGAACAGTGTGAACGAAGACGTGCGACCGTTTCTACTGTACGGTCGCACGTCTTTTGTCTAAGGAGCATGTTAGAAAACCAGCCGAGAATCGTACGATTTTCGGCTGGTTTGAACGGTGCTCGGGAGACAAATGCCGAACGGGCCGGTGTGCGCACACGCACACTGCCCGTTCAGCATTGCGGTCATCGGAAGCCCGCCCCTCAGGGGGGCGGGCTTGCGATGATCGAGAGTGCGATCTGCCTGTCCAAGATGGGCAGATCGTACGTTTTTTAAATCACTTTACATCCATCGCAAGACTAAGGTCTTGCGTTGGTTGTACAGTGTATGGCCACCTTTAGACTTCTCACTAGAAGAAATGGTTCTCAACTGTGGGTGCAGTGATATGTTCTGCTGAATCCCACAGACAACATTCTGTGCAAAGTAGGGCATACACTGCTAGATCTTCAAATGAACGTTCCTACGAAAAATCTCAGAGACTTGACAAATGTTCGAAATTTCGTTTGATTTTTGTTTTGATTTAACATTCAATTTTGGAGTGAATGGAGTTTCCCAAACTGTTAGAATTTCGTTTGATCCAGAAAATTTTTCCAACATGCTCCTTTGAATTTTTTTCGTCAAAGCGGCCAAATTTGATCATCAATTTGACCCCATCAGCTATTAGAAAGTCGAACGAATGTTCCGAAATTGATTTTGTTTGTTTGAAATTCCTTCAGTGTATATCCTGCTTACGTAAGTGTTTAAATAATGATAACTTCAAAGATGCAATACTGATCATAAATTGTCCTCAGAGCAGGGATGTACTTTCCCAGTTTGTAGGACAAGCTATCCATTGAAAGAAATGTCTGACTGTTAGCAGAGGATAAAAAAGGTGAAAGTGAACAGTGTCAACATTAAAACCTGTAAACATTTTAAGGCAAGATATGTGACGAGGGGCGTAACTAGAAATCACAGGGCCCCATAGCAAAATGTTGTATGGGGCCTTGTGATTTCTAGTTACACCCCTTGAAGAGCCCACTTGAGATCCCACACAGCTCACCTGAGGGTGAACCTGCAGAGCCCACCATAGACTCTCTAGTCACTTTTGATGAAACATACAGTGGCGTAACAATCGCCATAGCGACCTAGGCTCTCTATGGTGGGCTCTGCAGGGTCACCCTCAGGTGGGCTGGTCACACTCCTTACCTGTCCGCCTCTTCTTCCTCCGTCTTCCCTCCTCCGTCGCCGGGCCCGCTCCCTCCTCCGTCGCCGGCCCTGCCTCCTGCCTCCTGACCCCGGGCCCCGCCTCCTCCTCCCCGGCTGGGTCCAGCCTCCTCCACCGCCACTGCTGGCTCTCATTGACTCAGCAGCGGCTGTGGAGAAGAACGCAGCACTGCACTGACAGTGATCTGAACAGCGGCGCGTTCGAAGCTATAGCGACCCAGGCGGCTTGCACGGCATCAGGGGGGTGTCCTGGCCGGGCCCCCCTGTGCCTGGGCCCCATAGCGGCCGCCTGGGTCGCTATGGCGATTGTTACGTCACTGTATGTTTCAACAAAAGTGACTCTTGTCAATATGGCCCTGTTTAGAAATCCAAGGATTTTTTTTTCATTCCAACTGGCATTATTTAATGTGTATGTCTGGGCAAGTGTATGTCTGGGGCTTGGCCGGCAAGTTTTTTCCTTAGGGCTAATTGGCCAGAATGTCAACCGCGGTCTAAAAAGATACCCACAGACATAATGGTCATCACCTAGTCCATCAGGGTGTTAATATGAGCATAGAGCTGTACATGGTGGTTGTTAAATAGTAAGTATATTATTGTTTTATTTTTACAAAACGTGTCCTCGAGCTGGTCATACATCAGTAGAATGTTGATCTTTTGGGGGCGTCATGATCATTATTGGGTCATGATAACTGTTTAAGACGGTAGTGACGAAAATTATTGAAGGAATTATATTTCTGTGACATACTACAAGAAGTATTTATCATTTTACTGTCATTAATGCTAAATGAGTACATTGTGCAGCAAACATACTTTGTTTTGGAAATTGAAGAGAAAAAATTCAAGCTAGATACACACCACACACTAGTTGATGTACACCTGCATGCATTTTTTTAATGTGTTGTGTCATGTGTGTTTTTTCTTCCACAGCAAAAGCAAAAATGGTTTATGAACACTGTGACACATTGTAGTGCAATGCAGTGCATTGTGTTTCAATGCAGCATGTTCTTTTTCCAATTATCACACATGAACACAGTATGTTTCTGTGAACTGGGCCCATTGGAAACAATGGATTTTAGCTTGTAATTGCGTTGGGTCTACATTGCGCAACTCAGCCCAATAGCTGTGATGTTAATAGGCCCTATTGGTTGCTCTCTTTTAGTTTTTGTGCTGGGATAACCTCTTGGTTAACAGGAATGTATAAAGGCACTACATATGGAAGATGGTGGTACAGTATAGAATATTCTATAGATGCATAGAGTAGACACCTACAATTAACCCTGGGTATACATAACTGATATCCAGCTCACAAGATACTAAAGACATACAAATTTTTTTCATTCAAGCCTAGGCACCTTTTCATCTGGCTGATCCCAGCTCACAATAGCTCTCAATCTCCAGATAGTTTCTATCACTTTATAATGAAATTAATTATTTAATCACTCCGGCATTTTCAGTAAAGGAGGCGGGGCCCGCCTAACAGCAACCCCGCCTCCTCTCACATCACTGGCCAGCGATCTAAGAGCAGGTGGGGCCAGTGATGTAAGAGAAGGCGGGGCCCGTCGATAGAAGGAGGCGGAGCCCAGGAACGGAAGAGGAGGCAGGGGCCTGGCGGCGGCGACCACGGAGGTGACAGGTAAGAGGTGTACAGCGCAACTGAGACCTGAGTGGCATAACTAGCAATCACGGGGCCCCATACAAAATTTTGCTATGGGGCCCAGTGATTTCTAGTTACGCCCCTGATCACTTTATAATGAAATTCATTATTTAATCTCTCAGAGAATGCGACTCCTTGTTTTCTTGTTCTTTTGTCAATACTGCCTCTAATTCCAGGCATTATTGCTATGTACTTATTCAGTGATGATGTTACATTCTGTTGTTTTTTTAATTTTTATTAGATGTGTAAGTGGCGGGAGAATGGTAGAACATCTAAAATCTAAAACAAGGCAAGATGCAAAAAGATCACACTAATAAAAACAAGTTCACAAGCTGTTTAATCGTTGCAAAAAAAACAAAAAACTTTACTTGAACATCTTATGGACTGTCCTTTTGAACTTACCCTAAAGCAGCTTTTTGACAGCTATTCTAGGTTATTTTGAACTTACTGCATTCTGAAGGCATATGCTTTTCTTAGTAACAACATTCAGATTATTGCATGACTCTTTTCCTTGTTTGACACTCGTCATACCATTTACCTTAGTCTTGGTTTCTCTTAGCTCTTTGGCTTCATATTGGTTGGTGTGTTTGCTTATGATGCCTACAGCATATACAAGATGGAGATTGTCAACAAATCAGCAGAGAGAGGTAAGCTCTTAAACTCAGCTTGCTTAGTTTATGATCTCGGTGCCAATGCCATTTTTAGTGTGAGTTAAGTTTTATAGGTTTTTGTCTATTGGGTTGTAAATTATATAACCATTAATTACATGCTTCCACTGATACACAGGTTGGAGAGGCTCCACATTGGATCACTCCCTGCATTCATTTTTAATTTTTTCCCCCCATTGTCTTCTGGCCGGTCATGTGATATTCTGTGGTCTTTCTCTTCTTTCTGTGGTGGCGGTGGGCAATCCTTTATACTGCAGAGACTGATGCTCACATAGTTCTGAGAAGAGCCTACAGACATACAAAAGTTTCCGATTCTAAATGTTAACTGCTAGATGGCCCTAACATCCTCTAATATATGTGAGCTCCGCAAGCCCAACAATTTTGTTGATGCTGGTGTGGAATTATTTAACATGTGAAAAATGCATCAGCCTAATGCAGTCAGCTACAGGTCTAAACTACCTAGCTGATGTTAATTCACAAAGGAGCACAGAAATGTAGAAACAATTGTACCTTATGGCCTAAGCTACATTGTAGCTATGATTACCTATAACCCACTGTGGCTTTGCCCATAGGTTTTTGGTGTTTTACATAAAAATGAACAATTTTCCATTCATAGAAATTCCCTATGTTAAACTTTTCAGAAGTCAAAAATAGACTAAACGGCATCATGATCAATGGGGAAATAACCTCAATAGAACAAGACAACCAGAATAAGTTCATAAAATCTGGACCAAACTATACCAGAAACTTGATGACACTATACCATGCTATGCCAAACTTAGTGAAACATCAATACATATACAATCACCATTATTCCAATCCCTCAGCCTTGGGAATGGAAACCCTACAATCCTCTATTCTATTCCCTTACCATTCCATTCCAATATCCCCTTCTCCTTATCTTTCTCTTAAGCACAAGATTCTCTATGGGTATGAAGGCTGAAGTCCTTGAAGAAGATGTTCTAAGGGCCAGGCACAGTGGCGGAACTACCAGAGTCGCAGAGGTCGCAGCTGCGACCAGGCCCTGGAGTTCCGCCACTTGGAGGGGGCCTGGGACAGGAGGAAAGGGCCCCTGGTAACCGCTGATTACCAGCATATTTAATATCCCGGTAACCGCTAATGTCAGTACCGGGACTTCTTCCTCCTGTCCTGGGCCCTACGTGTTTGAGTATGATAAGCCAATGGGTGGGAGGCGGGTTATCCCCGCCCCCTCATCACACAGAACGCTGCCTAATAGAGAACTGCATTGGTAAGAGAGACCTGCTGCGGACACGAAGGGGGAGCTATAGGGAGCTGGGACTATGAAGAGGACATGGAAGAGGAGAGTGTGGGGTCCGGGAGCGGAAAGCTGGGGACGTGAAGGGGAGATGAGGGGAAGCTGGGGACATGGAAGAGAAGAGTGTGGGGTCCGGGAGTGGAAAGCTGGGGATATGAAGGGGGAGATAATGGGGAGCTGGAGTGTGTTTTGTTTTTCTAAAAAATAAATGTTTTTTAAAGTAAATGTATCTATTTTTTTTGGGGGGGGGGGCTTCATGGATTCTTGCATCGGGGCCCTGAGTTCACTAGTTACGCCTCTGGCCTGGCACAAAATATATGTAGCAATGAGAATGCCACAACTGATACGCTACCATTCAGACTGCTACCATGTCTCTCAGAATGTTATCTCTTGAATCTTATGTAATCACTGTCTTTAGTCTTCTCTTACCTATGCCTCTTTCCTGTCTACTTGCCTCCTCGTTCCTGATACTCCCTCTTTTTCAGCTCACTTGCCCTTTTTCCTTTTTATATACTAGTGTCCAGACATCCATGCATGTGATATCAAGCTGTTTGTTCAATATGAACAGTGAATGGTCCATCTATTGGTTTATTGAATACCACTTTCTGTTTATGAATATCTTTCTGTGGTTGCTACACTTCAGGTGTGAAGTGTTATTGGACCTTAGTCTCTCTTCTATAACGGATGGGTTTACCATTATGTTTTGTACAATATTAGGCTGGCCATACACTGGTATATTCTTTTTGTTCCACCTGCAGGCAAAATTAAAAAAATATAACACATTCCTCCATCCACACTTAACAGCATGGATGGATGGACCTCCTACTTGGCTGTTATATCCAGACAGTGGCGGGTGTGCCAATGTCAGAATACCTGATCAGTGATGGCAGATGATTGGCTCCGTCACTTTTCACTCGAAAAATGTTCATCACGCTCCTTTGATTTTGAAGGATGCTGGATGGAAGGGTGCTGGCAGGGCCACCCACTGAACGGAATTTGACTGGTTAGATAAGAACACTGTATGGTCAGCTTTACTCTATCCTCTGTAAAATTGTGATAATAATCTCCATATGTTTTGTTTATACTCTAAAACGCTAAAATCTTGGTAAACAGTTTATACATAAAAAATTAGTTGACTGATAATAAACTTCAGGTTCCCTTTAAATAAGTCTGAAATGATCATTGCATGATACAGTCTTGTGCATTTTCTGTGTAATCATCCTAAAATGATTTTTCTGTGTTGTAGGTGCTGCTGATGTGTGAGGACCATGCACCAACACTAATATCAGACTCTCTGGGATATGACCTGGGCATTTTAACATCACATGGTTCATTTTTCAACCATGATGAATTTAAACCTTTTCCCATTTTTGGCTTATTCTGGATTCACATTGTGTATGTTTACACTCCTTTCATGAGCCATAACAACTAAAGCAATTTGTTGTAAAGAGATATACAATGTGATGGTTATATAAATGTATGCCTAATAAATGTGATTCTTCTATATGTAAAACTCTGGTGTTGTAGTAGGTTTTATTTCAGGTATGCGACCTTGCCAAATGTGTAGCAATGGCAGTATATAATAAATGGCACTAAATAGAACAAAAACACTCACAGTGATTGATAAAACATGAGAATTGAAAATATGCATTTGATTTTCATGTAAATAAGGAATGCCCTTGCTAATAAGGGATCCTTGCCAACTTTAATATGGATCTTTTTATTACTGCGATAGGAACAAATTCCTACACATCTTTTTTTGTCATACTGTCATGGTTTTTGTTAGTAGACATTTCCCTTTGCCGCACAACCAGCATTAACATTATCATTGTTTAGAATATAATCACTTAAGCACTGGATGAAGAGGACCTTCCTGCACCTGTGTTGTTGAGGCAATGGTTCAGCCATGTCCTAACTGCTCTTGGAGGAAACATTGCAATGAGAAGATAGTTAAATCTCCACCTTGGGCAAGACATTACAAGCACCAACCATCATTGCTAGCATGTGCACTAAGCCATTCAACTTGGTACACTATATTTAGGATCCTAATGGCAGGGTCAGATCTAGCTGCCCAAAGCCTGCTCTTATTGTCTATTTAGCCTGTGTTTCCCTTATGCATACTCTTCCTGTCAGTGGAGGACTGAGACAAATAAGCCTGGTCAACATTCTGCCCTTGTTTCTCCATCCCTAAAATTGCATTTACTTGTTTTCTTTATCTTCTGTGTTCATTTAACTCTCATTTAGCAATTACTGAACTGAACAATCAATGCATTTTGTCATTTTAATCCATTGGTTTATTTTTCTCAGATCATGAACCCACTTTATCTTGTGTGTGTAGAATAAGCAATTACCTTGCTCTTCATTACAAGTATTAGGACATGTTGAACTGGTGGTAAAATCGAAGTCTGCTGTTGAGGTCAGTGGAATGGGCCTCACATACATAACAAGGAAAGGTTTCTAAATTTCTAACATGATTCTAATAAAACTTTGCTGAAGGACAAAGAGCTTTTGAGAAAACCTTCTGTTTTCCATGGCAGGGTTGTAAGTACTGTAAAGGCACACCTTCTCTGCTTTTTTACTTATGGCTATCGCTTGATGGAACAGGTAGTTCTGGTTAATATGTGATGCACTGTGGATATGTAGATACAGTTGTGCTCAAATTTTGTATACCCTTGGAAAATTGGTAATATATGTACCATTTCTAACCACCTCCCGGCTGGCCGTTGTAATTAAACGGCCGGGTGGGAGCTTCCCGGATGTAACAGGCCGTCAAAATACTTCCTGTTAGCCCCGCCCACTCGCGCTCGACGTGCAAGAGCGGGAAACTGCCCAAATTTAAAAACAGGCAGCGATGCCTGTTTACATACAAGCGATCGGCCGGCTATAGAGCACAGCTGTATATCTTCAATGGAAAACGAAGTACAAGTAACTCGATTTCAGGTAATGCTTTCTTGACTATGCATGCAAATGAGCATCTCCAGAAAAAACAAGGACTGTTGCATAAATGCAGCTTTTGTATAAGAATGCTCTATGTGAATGACTCAAACTTTTTGGTTTTAAGACATGGTGCCATTGCTGGAATAGAACAAATGCCACTTGAAAGTATTGTTCCTGCCTACTGGACTTGGATATCTGGCCAGCACTGAGGCAGCATGAAATGATTTTTGGGGTCTTTAGTACAAAAAGAGAGACTTCAGAAATCTGATACATCTGGGTGTAGTACATTTGTGTGTGCTTGTAGAAATTTAAAAATATGTTGCTTTTTTTACTGACATTTCACAGCTGATCATTTTTGGAAAATATTCGTTACTTGACAAAACACAAAACGATAAAAAAGTAAAAACAAAGCTATCATTTTATTTTTACCTCTGAAATGAATGCATACTGTAACTGATGAACTCAATGACGAGTTCATATATTTAGTATTCATTTTCTAAATGATCCATCTATATATCTTCCAATATATTATTAATGAAAGCAGTGCATTTTCTTGGGTGACTGCCCTTTAGCATAGTGATGATGAGCCTTTGATGTTTCCTGAAAATTCTATTTGGCATCACTAAATCTGTTACAAACTTAATAACAGTTTTTAAATCAATTTAGTGGTTTAGATTATTTGAATTTTTTATGATAACTTTATTTCTTACAGTGAGTTTTAAAGCCAAACTCTAGGAAAAATATGTTGACTTCTTTTAAAAAGATAGATGCCTTTTTGTCACTCTGATTTAAAGGATTTAAAGGAGAACTATGGGGTCAGGGCTTTTCCCCATAGTTCTCCTTAGGGTAACGGGAGGACACAAACTAGCGTCCTCCAGTCACCCTAAGCTCAGTATACCGCGAGCTACAGCTCGCGGTATACTGAGACGCCGCAGCCGGAGCGGATCCCGACATCGATGTTGAGATCCGCCCAGCTGCGTGAGTGACAGCTGGCTCTGCCTATCTAGAGGCAGGGCCAGCTGTACCCGCCCCCTCCCCTGTCCGTTCTGCCAGTCAGCGCTGGTGGATCGGAGCGGGGAGGGGGGAATCCCTCCCCTCCCCTGTCATGGCAGAGACCCGCGACAGGATCGAGAAGTGAGCGAACACCGACATGTGTTCGCTCTCCTCCCGATCTACTGAGCCGACCTGTGACAGTCTCATTGTCACAGGTCGGCTAGAACTATGAGGTGAGTGAAAAGCACTCACCTCATAGTTCTCCTTTAATATGTTTTAAGGCACTGATCCAGAATATGCATGGAGATTAGGAGGTTGATTTACTACAGGCAAATAGGCTATTCACTGTGCAAGGGAATTTGCACTTTGCAGGATTAGTTTCCCTTAGTTTAGTGAATGTGGTGAAATTTCACTTTGCAGAAAATACCCGATTATGTGCAATCAGAGTAAAAAAAGCAGTATTTTTGGTTGCAATTAATTGAGTGATGGAAGTCAGTAGAGCTTCAGCCTATTTGCCGTAAAACAACTTCTAGGAGTTCATATTTTACTGATTTGCGGAGCTGCTGGCAGGTCTGTGACTAAGAAATTATTTAAACCATCACTATCAGAAGGAGGTTAGTCTTATGTATTAAGCCATATTTCTCTTACTACATGTTATTTTAAAGTAAAGTATACAAAGTCACATTGTATTTAAGGCTGAACTCTAGTCATGTAGAAAATACCATGTGATACAGTTTTGTTTTCTGAAAATATCATCCCCACATTAACTCTTTTCCTTTTACTGAATTAATTTTCTACAGAGTGATAATACAGACGCTTGTACAGGAAAATATATAAAAATATGCTCCAACCATGGTATTGTCCACTGCATGATCTGTAAATATAATCAGGGGCGGAATTACTGCCGATGCAGCCGGTGTGACAGCACCGGGGCCTGAGGCTGTGGGGGGCCCAGTGAGGTCCGGTCCTGGGCACCCCCCTGGTGGAATATGGGGCAGTGCAGGGTCCCGGTGTTAGAACATGTGTTAGACGTGCTTCTCAGCAAGGGGGTGGGTCCTGTGACTCACCTCTCCCGGCCGCGTCCCCAGTAACAGGTGGCGGGAGAGAAGTGTGTGTGTTACACGCCCCGCCCCCTGCACACACCGTCTGGCTGCGAACCTGTGAGGCTTGGCAGGTGAGTCCGCGTGGTGGGGGGAGGGGGTGGGGCGAGGGTTGTGTGCTGTTATTTCATTTAATTAGAAAAGTGGATTATAATGGGGAACATTACACTGTAATGTTCCCCATTATAATCTATTTCTCTGATTAAATTATTACAGACAGGGCCGCTGTTTTATCAAAGTTTGAGACTACGTTAGAATGTGTGACCGGTGACGTGATCACACATTTTAACGTAATCCTGCCCAGTTTTTTGGCGGTGGAATGTGTGACCGCCAAGAGGTCAAGCATTCCAACGCTTTGTCAGCTGTTCCAGGGCAGATCGGCATCGCAGATGGTATGTGCAGGAGAACCGATCTGCCCTGGAACAGCCGATAGGTCCTAAAATATCACTTCTATTCCGACTTTGTGAGTGGGGTGGAATGTGAGATCGCACTCATAGATCGGATAGAAGGTCGGATAGAAGTGACATTTCAGGACCGATCGGCTGTTTCAGGGCAGATCGGTTCTCCTGCACATACGATCTGCGATGTCCTGAAACAGCTGAGAAAGCGTTGAAATGCTTCACCTATTGGCGGTCACACATTCCACCTCCAAAAAAAGTGGGCGGGATTACATTAAAACGTGTGACCAAATCACCGGTCACACATTCTAACGTAGTCACGAACTTTGATAGAACACCGCCATTAGGGGAGTATGGCCAGTACCCATGTAAGGGGTCTGGGCAGCCTAGGGGGCCCCTTACATGGGTATCAGCTGTACCAGTTGTGGCATGGCAGAGGTGACAGGAGGGGGTGGAGGAGATCGGGCCCCAGCAGCAGCAGGTAAGAAGAGTTGGGAGGAAGTGCAGGGAAAGGGCCCCCGACGACCAGCCCACCAGAGACCCTGCAGAGCCCACCATAGAGAGTCTCAGGTGGGCTATGCAGGATCTATGGTGTGCTCTGCAGGGACTCAGGTAAGTCCAGAGTCCAGCACGCTACTGCAACATTACATTAGAGACTGCTGGGGGGGGTTCGGGGGCCAGTATGATCTGCTCCGACGCCCCCCCCCCCATCTTGAAAGGGGGGCCCAAGATAAAATCTTGCACCAGGGCCCTTTGGTTGTTAGGCCCACCACTCAATATAATGTTGCTGTGGATGAGGGATAGGGTCATGCTGGTGCATGTACTGTTTCTGCATACAGTGGCCACAAGCATTCCCCTGCTTGGTTTTACATTCGGGGGAACTGAAGTCTGGAATTTACTGGTAATAAATGTTTTACAACATAATACAACCTCAGAAATATAAATATACATTTATTAGGGTGCATACAGATCAGTTTTAAAGTAAACTCAGGCGCCAAATAACATTGTTTTACCCCCCAAAACATGAAATATCCATGCAAATGAGATTTGAATTTTTCAGTAGAGGGATTAGCAATCCTGAACCCCATTGCTCCCTTTTGACTTTGGCAGACCTAGCAAATCTGGGGTAACATTGGCTTTCTGTTCTCATACTATATATCCTAGTAAATGTATGTAGTGTACAGACAAACATGCTGCACAACTGAAAGAATAGGAGAGAACCAAAAAACTGAAGTTGCATTATGCAGACAAGCTTTATTTTATTCTCTTTTACACAGTATGTACAGCGCCAATAGGATCTTTAGAACTTCTGGGAGCATATTCTTTCTACTCTTCATCATGGAGCTTTTGCTGTTAAAATAAAACACAAATGTTGAGCTATCAGAGCATAGAAGCACATAGTGAATGTATTAGTAAACAGAAAGAGCAGTGATCCATAGGAACAGATCATAAAGGAAAAATAGTTGCCCATTGGCAGGCCAAGCAGAAAGTCATACTCACCTTCCCTCCCACATCTCTATTCTTGGCTCTCAGCTTGTTGACCTGGGACTCAGCAGTGTCTGCTCTTTCCTCTGCCTCATCCAGCTCATGCTGTACTTTACGGAACTTGGCTAGGTTTGAATTAGCTTGCTCCTCCTACAAATGAAATAGAAAAAATAGTATAAGCAGCATGAAGATAGAAGGCAGAAAACAAAATGAGTGAATAACCCAGCCGAAGTGAATTGAGCCGAACAACATTCGGCTATTCACTTCGGCTCAGTATGGCTGACTTCAGCCGTACATCAGCTGACATCAGCCGTACTTCGGCTGCACTTTGGTCAGCTGAACATGCTCAGCATGTTCGGCTGAGCCGAAGTGCAGAAGGACTTTGACTCAGCCGATCCAACATCTGGATCAGCTGAGCCGAAGCTCCAGCAGCTCATTCACTGCCATAGGGGCCGAACGGCAGTGAGTGAATAGCCGAATGCCGCAGAGCTCGGGTATTCTGCTCGGTACCTCTGTGGTACTGAGCAGAATAGAAAATAGTGAAAAAAGTAAAAAGAAAAAAAAAGTTGAAAAAATATTTTTTCAACTGGTAATAAGTATGACATTAAAAAAAATTAAGATAAAAAAAAACAATTGGGGGGAGCTAGCAGTGACAGCTCCGCCCAGCTGTCATTTGCAGGGCGAAAGGCCGGCCTTCAGCAGGCCGTTTGCCCTGCTTTGCGCGACGCTGCGGCTCAGTGGAGCCGAAGCAAATGCCAAATGCCTTCGGCTCGGCTGCCTTCGGGTGCTCTTGTTGTGAATAGCCCGTACAGCAGCCCTTCGGCTCGACTCAATAGACCCCTATATGTTGTAAACACTTACAGCCTCCTCTGCCTGTCTCTTGTAAGCTTTCACTTTCAGCTGCAGCTTATCAACCAGGTCCTGAAGGCGAGCTAAGTTCTTTCTGTCCTCTTCTGTCTGAAGAAAATGGAGAGTGATTTTGAGAACAACTGCCATGCAAAATAATATATGAATGCAAATTCAATTATAATCTTAATTTTTGACCTATCATACCTGGTAGGTAAGCTCTTTAATTCTTCTCTCATACTTCCTCATGCCCTTCACAGACTCAACATTGCGTTTCTGCTCAGCCTCCAGCTCGTTGTCCAGTTCCCGAACTCGAGCCTCCAGCTTCTGCAGCTGCTTCTTACCACCTTTCATGGCAATTTGCTCCGCCTCGTCCAGACGGTGCTGGAGATCTTTGATTGTTTGCTCCATGTTTTTCTTCATCCTCTCCAGGTGGGCACTTGTGTCCTGCTCTTTCTTCAACTCTTCTGCCATCATGGCAGCCTAAGTTATAGACATTTAAAAAAAAGATAGATTAGTGAGAAAATAATGGGATATATTAGATTTATTTTTGTTTTCAACATTTACATACATCAGTGATTGCTTTCTTGGCCTTTTCCTCTGCATTACGACACTCCTGAACTGCTTCCTCCACTTCTGTCTGCAGCTGAGACAAGTCTGACTCCATCTTCTTCTTCTGATTGATCAGACTAGTGTTCTGGTCAGAAAAATTATAGGCGTTACAATTTGTGTGTGAATATCAATATTGTAAAAGAGTCTGAGTGACCAATAATTATATGATAAGAAAGTAAGAAAATCTGGTTCCTTTCTAACCTGTGAATGGAGGAGCTGTACTCTCTCACTGGTCTCTATCAGTTCTTGTTCTGCAAGCTTCCGTCCCCTCTCAGTCTGTTCCACTAGAGACCGTAGTTCTTCCAGTTCAGCCTGGAGCAGCATGTTTCTCCTCTCCACAATTGCAATGTTTTCTTTAAGATCTTCATTAGCTCTTAGTGTGTCATCCAAATGAATTTGGGTGTCCTGTAAGTGACAGCACAAATGATTTATTGCTATTTTTAGTCAGTGTCACACATACAAAGAATAATGCACTGGCATCTGTGCTTTTGGCAATTGGTTGTAGTTCAGTGAGAGTCAACGATTTATTAGCTTTGGTCTGCATATAATAATAATTTGTAGTTTGAAAGCTAAGTTTACCTTTAAAGCTGTATTTCATGTTATACCCATATTAAGGGTATAACATGAAACATGGTGACATTTGGCAGGATCTGTGAATGAAGATACTACAAGTCCTGTCTGTCATTGCAGAAAATGGACTTGTAGTTCTCATTGGAATACAAGTCCAGTGAGGCCAACGCACTTGTAGTCCAATCATTCTACTTTCCATCACTGTTACTGACTGTCTGTTATATTTTAATAGTTAGTGCATCAATTGTATGATAATCACTAACCTGAGAAAGAATTGAAGCTGATCATAGTCCACAAATGTGTTTACATTATCTGCTTACCTTAAGGGTACTATGTGCCACCTTCAAGTGTTTGAAGGCCTCAGCTGCTGCACGGTTGGCCTGGCTAAGCTGAATTTCCATTTCATTTAGGTCACCCTCCATCTTTTTCTTTATCCTGAGGGCCTCATTGCGGCTCCTGGTCTCAGCCTCCAAAGAAGTCTGCAATGATTCTACCAAACGCTGATGGTTTCTCTTGGTTTGCTCCATCTCTTCATCCTTTTCTGCCAGTTTACGCTCAATATCAGACTTTACTTGGTTGAATTCCAGCTGAGCACGCATGATTTTGCCTTCTTCATGTTCCAATGAAGCCTGAGAAACATATTTACATACAGAATTATTTCAAAAAATTTAAGGATTGGCATACTTTTTCATGCATACTATTTTAATATGTTGACATAGATATACTAAATGAATGAAGTAGTTTATATATAAGAACTTATTTATAACCAACTGTAAGGGTTACTTACCTCTGCTTCCTCCAGTGCAGACTGCAGTTCCATCTTCTCCTGTTCCAGCTGCTTTCTAATTTTTTCCAGTTCATGAATATTCTTCCCACCCTCTCCCAGCTGCTCTGTGAGGTCTGAGATTTCCTCTGTGGAATAATTTTATTCTTAGTGAAATTCATATTAAGAAATCAGTCTGTTCATGAATTCATAGACATTCAGTTTTTTTTCATCATATTAAAAAGTTGAACATTGGCCTAATTCCCTTACCCTGGAGGTTTTTGTTTTCTCTCTTGCAAGTTTCAAGATGCTCCAGAGATTCTTCATAGGCATTCTTCAGCTTGAATAGTTCAGTACTTAGAGTTCGAGCTTCTTTCTGCGATGCCTCAAGCTCTGTCTGGGACTCCTCAAATTTCTGCTTCCACTCAGCAAGGATCTTAAAGAATAAAAAAAAGTGTAGAACCTATACATGGCACATTTTACAATTTTACCATAATGCTCCCCTTCGTTAAGTTTTATTACCTTATCAAAGTTTCTTTGTTTTTTGTCCAGCGCAGCAGATGCAGCATTTGACCTCTCTAAGTCAACCATCAGATCCTCAATTTCATTCTGTAAACGATGTTTGGTCTTTTCAAGAGATGAGCATTTGGCATTTACGGCCTCTACAGCCTCTTCTGCTTCTTGAAGCCTTTGAGCTAACTTTTTCCTGAAGGAAAGGGTACAATAATTACAAAATACATGTGTACTTTTGGAAACTAACAGGCACATGATTGTCATGTACCCTGTTTCCCCGAAAATAAGACCTATCCTGGTATTATAATATGGAAACAGCAACCAACAAAAAAGTCAAGTATATGTGCGTAGACGTACACCTTTAAGAATCATGCTCATAAATGTTCATGCAAAAGTTATCTACATATGCTTTAGTTACCCTCACGTTCTGTCATCCACCTGGATAGAAAAACTGAAGCAGAGCCTTCTAACAAACAAGCTTTATGCTCGTCTTATACAACAGTATGAAACATAATCCAAGCAAAAAGCTTCTCTGTTGAAAGGAATTTTAAAGTTGGGATGCATTAAGATACCTGGGCAGATGTTAAAGAAGCAATTAATTATTAAAGCAGGGCAAGCTGCAGGAGATGAATAATGACAAGCATTTTTAATGTAAAAAAAATCAAGGAATAAAGGGGGGAAAAGCCTGTGTAAGTAATGGACTAATAATTACCACACTGATTACACAGAAAGGAAGAATGTTATTACTCACTTGGCCTCCTCCAGTTCCTCAGTCCTTTGAATGGCATCTGTCTCATACTTAGTTCTCCACTGAGCCACCTCTGAGTTGGCTTTGGATAGAATTCTTTGCAGCTCTGCCTTGGCCTCCTGCTCTTCCTCATACTGTTCCCGTAGGAGATCACAGTCATGACGGGAAGACTGCAAGGCATGGGCTAGAGCATTTTTAGCCTAATGAAGAAGAAAACAATACTGTGTAAGATATTAATTAAGAAACAAAGCATTTATAGTCACTGTAAAACTGACAAATGAAAATCAATTTTAGGTTCCAAAAGCAGTTGTAAAGTACTCCATTTAATATTATCTTCTAAAAAAAGGGGTGAAAATCCTGTGGTCAAGACTTGCCTCTTCGGTAGATCTTAGGGTCTGCCACCTTTGCTTTCCCATAAAGACAGGTAAATATTTTATTACATTGCATGTCACTATTTTAGGTCAAAATGTAATTACCTAGCATCTGTAAGTTTGTTGAGTTCCTTACAACAGATATGAAATGTGCCATCCACTCAGAGTTAGTTGAGAATGTTTATCTTGGTCACATAGTGATAATTACCTTGTTCTCTTCCTCCAGCTGCCTCTTAAGGTCTTCTAGTTGCTGTGTGTAGGTTTGCTTTCCACGTGTTAGTTGGGACACTAATGCCTCTTTCTCATCCAGTCTGCGGGACAACTCTCCATTCTCTGTTTGCAGTTTAGCTCTTTGAGAAGTAAAGTCACTGAGTGATCTCTGAGCTTCTTCATACTTGGTCCGATGTTCATTCATCTGGTCCTCCAATGTTCGGCACAACTTCTCTAAAGTGGCCTGTTGATTAAAATGTAGAAGTGAGAGTAAAGACTGAGGAGCAAATTACTTACTTCAGCTTCAACATAATATCATTGTTATCAAATTTATGTCCTGCTTGAGACTTACAAACTGCCCTTTGGATCTATTAAAATATTCCCGTTTCCTGTCCCAAAGAACTGGGGAGCTGTGGCTGGCTTTTGATTAATAGAACCTTGAACCCTGAGTCCAGCAACAGCTATCTGTTCAATGTGATTTAGTTTATGTACCTCATATAAGGTATCACATCATAAGACATGACGAACAAGAGTTTTGGATAACAGGTGCTGGAATAAAGTCACAGAGCTCACGTATCATGGATGTGTGCAGTCAACTTACCAACTCCCTACTGTCACTTATCAGTTACAAATCATGCGATATGACGGTGCAGGACTATACAGATTTTAAAAGATGTGATGCTTAAATTTGTTTTTAAGTTCAACAAAAACAGGAGGGATAGAGCTCAGAAAATGTATGACAACATAGTTAATTCCCTTACCTTGGCTTTCACCACCTGCTCCATGTTAGATGCTACATCATCCAGCTCCAGTTTGAATTCACTCTTCTCCTTTTCCAGTTTCTGTTTGACTCTCTGTAGGTTGTCTATCTGCTCACTGAGCTCTGCCACAGAATCAGCATGCTTCTTCCGTAGAGTAGCAGCAGTGGCCTCTGATTGCAGAGTGGACTCTTCCAGATCCCTCCGGAGTTTAAGAAATTCAGCCTCCCTCTTTTTGTTGAGCTCCATTTGCACAGAAGTAGCTCCTCCAGCTTCTTCTAAACGCTCGCTGATCTCCTCCAGCTCTCTTGACAGATCAGAGCGAAGTTTTTCTACTTTGGCTCTTGCTGTTCGCTCAGCTTCCAGTTCCTCCTCCAGCTCTTCTATTCGAGCCTAAAAAAGAAACATATTCAGTAAAAATAAGGAACATATAAGGAGAGAAAAATAATAGCTGTATACTTATGATGTAGATCATTTGTTGAATTCTTATGGTCAGTATGGGAAATTTGGTAACATATTTCTATCATGTACCTGGTTCTCTTTGAGTTTCTTTTGAAGTTGTATGCCTAAAAGTTGTTCGTCCTCTATTTTGCTATTTTGCTGGCTGAACTCAAACTCCTTCCTGTGAAAGGAATATTATGCAATATATTAACATCACCAATCCCTCTCAAAAAAATAAAAATGAAAATGCTGAGGTAACATACTTCTTCAACTTCTCTTCCAGCTGTTGTTTGTCATTCTCAAGATCCATCACATTCTCTTGGGTCAGTTTCAGATCACCTTCCAGTTTTCGTTTGGCTCGTTCCATATCCATTCTTAATTTTTTTTCTTGTTCTAAAGACCCCTCCAGCTATTTTGAAAAAACAGGCGCCAAATGTATCTAATTTAATATGAGACAAGTAAATATAAATCGTTGGAAAGCTCAGAGTAAGGGTGTCACTTACATCATCAACCTGCTGCTCAAGCTTGGCTTTGGCCTTTGTCAGCACATTGACTTTGTCTTCTTCAGCCTGAAGGTCATCTAGTGTTTGCTGATGGGCCTCTTGAAGTGCCTTTTTCTCTTTGGTAAGTTTGGCAATGATCTCATCTAAGCCAGCCATCTCTTCGGTAAGATTTTTAACCTGGAAAAAAAATGAGCTGTCACTGAAAGAGAAAGAAGAACCGCCAATGATTTGTGTAAGGTTTCAAAAGCAAAAAATATTACCTTGTTCTCTGTGGCATGCTTCTCCTTTTCCACTTTGGCTAGTGTTAGCTCCAGATCATCAATATCCTTCTTGATCTCAGAACATTCATCCTCCAGCTTCCTCTTCTTAGCCGTCAGCTCAGCATTCATCTCCTCTTCATCTTCCAACCGTTCTGTCTGTTCCTTCAGCTTGGCTTCTAGTTGTATTTTGTTCTTGATTAACTGGTCACATCTTTCCTCAGCATCATTTAAATTATCTTGTTCCTATTAAACAAGAATTTATACAGAGATATAATTAAGCAAAAATAAAAAAAACTTGACATATATGAATCTATATAACATTTTTGTACAGCTTATTGAAGGCCATTTGTGATATTCCTCATTAAATGACAAGATTATTGCATCAGTCATCTCTGCATTTACTGCACACAAAAGCTGCTACTATTTTAGCCTTGACATACTGTAGACATGACAGTATGTGTTCACTCATAAACGTGATATATTGGAATTTAGATGGTTAGCAATAAGCAAACCATGGCATGGTGTGATCCTTCTGCCTTTTGCTGCTTCATACTTATACCTACACGATACCTAGTTGAGAGTTGATCACTTCTCTAGCTTTTATGTGCTCTCAGTCCTGCAACAGTGGATTACCAGGCTTGAGGTTCCAGAAAGACCCATGCTGCCTCATATAAACACAAGTGGTTCTTCACAAATTGAATACACAGTCTTATTAAGAGAGAGGAGCAGGTGAGCAAACCCTTGCGGTTACTAGAAGGGGTCTAAATGTGCAGTGAATTTTATTTAAGTTTTTTTGTACAGTCCATAACCTAGTTGTCTGTTACTGATGCAATATTCAGTTCATTAACTGTTTTTTTAATAAGCAGATTCAAACTAAAAGTACTAACATATTAAAATAATTGTGTATATGAAATAGGTTTATTTCTAGACATATGTAAATATGTTTAGATAGACATACAGATTGCACTTGGAGGTGCAGATCATTCTTCTCTTGTAACAAGGAGACCATCTTCTCCTCCAGCTCTTTGCGTCTGGAATCAGACTTCTCCAGGGCTTCTTTTAACCTCTGGAACTCTTCTTTCATGTTTGCCATCTCCTTCTCTGTCTCTGCACTCTTAAGCAGGGGCTTGATCTTGAAGTAAAGCTTCATCCATGGCCAATTCTTGACACCCATGAAAGCACGAATGTTCCATTGAATAACCAGAAGAGCATCTCTGAAATGATACATAGTATAAAGAATGAACCAAGAAAGCTGTGAATGCAATATGTAGCACTGGAGTGAATCCATGACCAAAGTCTACTGTTAGGCCACACTAGATCAGGGACCTAGCTATGCTGTCTGGCAGAGGTGCATGGGTTTCAAGACTGGCTGAGCAGAATTAGAAATATTTTCTCTGGTAAGACACTTAAATTATTTCAACTGTGTATGTAGCTGTTTGGCTGGAGTTCTGCTTTAAAAAGACGATATGAACTATCGAAAGTCTGTATCTGAACTAATATGAAATGGATAATACACTCCTTTAATAAGTCACTAAATAAAGCAATGGTAATGTGCAGTAACGCCAAATAAAATGTATCCTTTACTGCTCTCACTACAGTAAATTGATATCTAATTGGATATAATGAGTTATGCACTTTGCCCTATATTGATTGTCCTTTGCACTGCCTTATTAAATAATACAATTAATATAAAAATAAATATTCAGTTCCAAGCATATTGTGCCTGTCATTTTATTTTGAGTTTACATAAATTCACCTGCGTTCCACAATCTTCTTAAATTCTCTTCTCATCAGCAATCCTCGAGATTGCGCTTGGATTCGTGTAATGATCTTAGAGAGTCGTTCATCTCTCATTTCTTCCAGGAGACCTAAGAGACCAGCTTTAAAGAACACCTGTGTAAAAATGTAGGGTGTTGGTAATTTTCCCATCAAATTTAAGGCACACAAGTTGGAAAAAAGTACAAATACACCTTTTACCTTTGTGTGTCCAAATTTGTACTGGGTGTGATCAATCTCCAGTGAACCCAGAAGCTTTTCAGCACCTTTCCTGCTGTCTATGAACTGTCCATCAGGTATGGCTGAAGGATTCAGGATACGGTAGCTGTTAAGAAGGACAAGTATTTAAACAGATGCTCGATTAAACTTTATACACACAGCTACACATTTCTAGTAAGCACACCTACCGCTGTCTGAAATCACCATACAAGATGCGGTTGGGAAATCCCTTTCTGCAGATTCTAATACCCTCCAGCACACCATTACAACGGAGCTGGTGCATCACCAAAGGATTGTCCATCTCTCCTGCAAAGTACATATATACATTCAGCATGCAAATCTACAAAAAATAACATATTGGCAGTAGTTATGGCAGAACAACATAGTAATTAGCAAGACTAAGACAAATATAATATTTCAACTAGTGCAAGAACAATGGCAAACTAAGTTTTGAAGTATTACTTAAGGGAAAGACGAGGCTCTAGCTGATCTCTTGACTTGTTATTACCTGGAGATTTCCGTTCATTAGGGATGATACAACGCACAAAGTGAGGATGAGTTGTTCTCAAGTTGGCCATTAGCTTGTTTAGATTCTCCTGTGGATCAGAACAAATATGTCAAGGAGTGGTGACATGTTCTAACACTGCCTGCTAAAGACATTCACAGCTCAAAACATTCTAAATTAGTAGCCTTAGTCTAAAATTGTGTTGAAGAATCTGTCTATTCCTGAAACACAGGCTTTTTTGAGGCTGGTGGAGGTCATGATTATACACACAATTTTAGCCGTAAAAAAACTAAAACAAATCCGTACAAAACAAACAATTATTTGCTATGTCACAGTAAATTATTTGAGCGAAAAAAAATCTCACCCTGTGGAGGGCAGACACAGTCTGGAAAGAGGATCCCTTCTTCTTTCCTCCTTTACCTTTTCCACCACTCTCTATAATTTGGAAACACAAGCAGACTTAATGTACACTGAAAAATTTGAAACCACCTAGAGTAGATGTTCTTAATATTATAAGCATGTCCTACCTGAATCACCACTAGAATAGTTGGCGAATAGGAGTGCTAAGAGCTTAAGTGATGACTTCTGATACAACCCAACAACAGTCTCATTAAGAGGGTCCTTATTCTTTTCTAGCCAACCAAGGATATTATAGTCCACAGTACCAGCATAGTGGCCCAGGGCAAAGTGAGCCTCTGGCTTGCCCTTTGGATTACGTGGCTTCTGGAAGTTGTTGGATTTGCCCAGATGATTATCATACAGTTTGGCTTTAAAGGTTACATCAGAGGCCTTGGGAAACATACACTCCTCTTCAAGGATGGACATGATACCCATAGGCTGTGGAGAAAGAGAGCACTTAGTGTATAGTAAAGGAAAATGGTAGATATTCCATAAAGTCGAATTAAGACAAATAAGAACATTAGAAGCACACATATATATAAATGTATAAAATAGTTCTCATCATAAATAAGTCACTCTCACCTTCTCTATGAGATCAATACAGGCCTGCAGATCCATACCAAAGTCAATGAACTCCCATTCAATTCCCTCTTTCTTGTATTCCTCCTGCTCTAATACGAACATGTGATGGTTGAAGAACTGCTGCAACTTCTCATTAGTGAAGTTGATGCACAGCTGCTCAAAGCTGTTAAACTGAGGGTGTAAAGAATTTGACAGAGAAGGCAAATGAAAGCAAAATTTAAACATACATACAAAGTCCACATACAATACAAAAGTTCTCCTTCCCAGTGTACTTACTGTCCTTTTTAAACCTTCTCTTATTTAATTTTTCATCTTGTTACCTGTTACCATCAGTTAAAGGAGAACTATGGGGTCAGTGTTTTTCCCTATAGTTCTCCTAAGGTTCACGGGAGGACACAAACTAGCGTTCTCCCGTGACTCAAAGCTCAGTATACCGCGACCTTTAATGATCCCCAATACATAGCTTTACTTTACATTGAGTATAAAGCAGTTTAGATCTCTATGCTTGCTATTCTGAACTACTGTTTAATGTTGTAGATTTGAAAATTAGTATATAGCACATCATAGGATATACACTGTTAACTATTAATTTATAAATAATTAAAATAAATTGTAACTGGGGTTATCAGTCTCTGACTGTTATTCTGGCAACTCTGGCATTTGTGAAAAGGCTTGTTGTTTGAAAGCTTAGTCTGGGTGAACTCCTATATGCTGCTTTACTGCATTTAGCCCAGCTTTAATGTAATAGGAGTGTTGAGACCACTTGCAAGTAAATGTCATGAGCACGCCAACTTGGTACGAGCGTGTGCTTTGTACTAGAGATGAAGTTTACTCCCAGTAAAGCCCTGGCTGTTATCCATTCTTCCCTTTTTTTAGTTTTCATAGAACCTTCTGTTTCCACAAAGTTTCACACGTTAAAAGAGAACTATAGCCCAACTTTTTATTGTCATCGTTCTCTTTAGAGTCACAGGAGGGCATATATTAATGTCTTCCTGTGACCCAAAACTCAGAGCCACACTGCAGCCAGGATGGATCTGACAATATTGTCGGGATCCACCCCGCTACCTGTGCCCAACCCCTACACATCCATCTCTCCAGTCAGCGCTGGAGGGACAGAGAGGGGAGGGGGCAATCCCTGCGGAGGTACTGAATTACAGTCACCGCTCTCTGCAAGAAGATGATTGGGAACTGAGCGATTGGTGGTATGTGATCAACTCTCGATCAATAGAGCCGGCATGTGATAGCTGCAGTGTCACACGTCGGCTCTAATTATGAAAATGAGTGTATTTTACTCTCCCCCATAATTCTCTTTTAATATATAATACTTACATCAAAGATCTCAAATCCTGCAATGTCCAGCACGCCAATGAAGTATTGTCTGGGCTGTTTGGTCTCCAGGGTGGTGTTTATTCTAACCACCATCCACAAGAACATCTTCTCGTACACTGACTTGGCCAGGGCACCCATGGAATAAGTTACCTAAATAATGAGGAAAATTAATAAGATCATGAAAAGGAATGACCTTGAAAGGAAAACAAATAAAGAAGACAGCAAAAGAAAGTGCACATTGAAAGTAAGCCATAATTCCTTCATGTAAAAGCCAATATGTAATAAAATATATTTCAACTGTAACAGAGATAAATACAATTGAGATCAAATAATGTTGTCTTCACCTGTTGGACACTTTGACCCTTGGTGACATACTCATTCCCAACCTTGACTCTGGGGTGACACAATCCCTTCAGGATGTCAGCAGAATTCAGGCCCATGAGGTAGGCAGCTTTGTCAGCCTCTGCAACATGATGCAATGCATGTAATAAGTAAGCCTCCAGCATAAACCAATTATAACATTGAGTAATTATATCTTGGTGCACACAAATGCCAAATTGCTGTGATTCAGCATCATTTTTCTTATTTTTTGTAATTTGCAAGTCATGGCCCTTTTAAATTGACATTATCAAATTTGCAGAATGTAATGCATTTGTATTTAATACAGGTTGTTTGTAATTGTATGTTTTGTTACTGTTTGCCACTAATTTTGAACTGAAGAAATACCTCTTGCCCTATACTCCTGCAATCTGATTGTTTTAAATCAATTTATACCACTATTTGTATATAACCCTACCACACTGCATAACCATTGCAATGCCAGAAAACAAAATCAATGTTCTGTGAAAAAAACACAGCTTATGTGGTCCTTATATGTTAGAAATATCATAGCACATTTGTGTCATAGCTAAGCAGATCTTAATCAAGAATATAAAAATAAGGTGTTCCCATGAATCAATAGCCTTCACACAGAATCCTACCAACCTACAATAAACAGATAAAACTGAGTTCTAAATCCAAAAGGCACCTGAATCACAATGATAGTTGTAACTGCAGATCGTGTAATTCAGCTGACTGATGAGTCAAAATGCTTGCTTCCCCATCATCCATGCAAAAACAGCGTAGATGAGGGAATCTCTCCTGCAGGGCAATTGTATTCTGACAGCCAATGTCCACAGGTGTTAGAATACCCAAACAGTGAATGCAGTTAGTTGGTTCTGTTGCTTCGACAAAAGGAAAAAAAAAAGGAAAAATCGGCTTTTGTTGAATGGAGTGGTACCAACTGTTGGAAATGCAACAGCATATACTGTTATGTCTTTTGAGCTGTAGATGGCGCTCTAGTACAATGTTAGTCTCTATATACATGCTTATCTATGATACACAGGAAGTTTTTCTATCGATATGTTTTCCTCACAATGCTGTTTTCAGATGTAATATTCTTCTAAGCAAGTAAAACTTAATTCAGTATTCCTCAAGATATCAGTGCTTCATCTAAACACATAACCAATACCAACATGGTTTCACCAGGACTCAGATAAAATTTTAAAATTGTATGGCCAGCTTTAGTGATGTTTGAAACGTAAAGTTACAATACAGTGCGGTTTATATTGAATATATCTACTAATTCATTGACATATCTTACCCTCAGTCCCATCTGGCTCTGCTTGTTCTTCCCTTTGCTTCTGCTTGAATCTCATGTTTCCAGAATGCATGATGGCTCCAGTCAGCTTGTAAACACCAGCTTTTTCCTCAGCAGTGAAACCCAGAACATCAAAGGCACTCTAGGATGAGGGGAAGGTGGGGGGATCAGACAGCATGACTTTAACATAATGTGAAAAACAACTAACCAAATCTAACTGATAATCACTGGCCTAACGATACGCAAAAAATATAGTGTTACCAAATCTAACAACAAATTGTTTAAGCTGTAAAGGGAATCATCAGAATAGAAAGATATCACAACTCATATGTGTGTTTAACGCGCTATATCATACATCATTCAGATATTTCAGTCATAAAATGAATTCTTTTTGGTGCAAGTTCATAACCAAACAAGCATTTCCATGAATGTTCATAGCCGACATGCTGCACTTGACAAAACGTAAATCACTCTGTGTATACAAACTCGACTTGTGCAATTTGCCTCTACATTTGTCACAACTCACTGCAGTTGCTTGACCACAAACTATAGGTAAGTCACTTGTGTCTTATCTCTCAACCATTATGTGTTCATGATCTATTGTGATCTATCTACATTTTTATTCATTTGTCCTGTTTATAATGGCACTAATACTAAGTCTGTGGTGCCAAGCGTTGTAAAATTATTTCCAAATTAAATACATTTTAATTTTTTTATGAAAAAAAAGAAACACAAAGTAAATAAAAGTTTAAATATTAGTGGTCTAAATAATATAAAAAATCAGCACAAAAATGCTAAGGGGATAATGAGGGGAAGGAGTTACGGATGATTAGAGTTAGCCAAAGCTGGTCATACAGTGGTAGATTTTTGTACAAATGTTCATATGAAATATCTCATTCAAACATTCCATAATCCCATCAGAGACTTGATGAATGTAATCCAAAAATTTCATTTGGTTATAACATTGGATTTTGGAATAAATGGAGTTTCGTAGATGAAAACCACATTCACTTCCAGAATTCTGCACATTTGACAAAAATCTTCCAGCCTGCTCCTTACATTTTTTTTTCCATCACTACAGTCGAATTTGATCGTTGATCATCAACTATTAGAAAATCAAACTCTACTATTTAAGAGTTAATAAGGGGTTCAAAAGGAACAAATGTTATTTAAAACTTGTAAGGTTGCTTTTGCTGACATCATATGCAGATCAAAGGTCACCCCATTTGATCTTCATATGAATGAAACAAAGGAAATACAAGGTAACGGTGTTACAATGTATTTCCTTATTGAGCTCCTGATAAGTGTTTACATACACTGGTCATAAGCTTCTGTGTTAGAGAGCAAAATAGCCGGGAGAAAGGGCAACAGGGGAGAGGGACAGAGCCTGCTACGTATGCTATGTCTACTTCAGTGAAGTCTTTTTGGACATACCTATCACGCCTAGGCCAATGAGTCAATATAAGATTATACAGGTTGCTGTACAGCTAATTACATGATTCACAATATGGGAACTCTGGCCAAGCGCCTTCAACTGCTGAATTATTTATAATTCTGATTAGCCACTCTTGTGAATCAGAATCCCCCACCAGGCAGCACAGCAAGTATAGTAACTTTACAATTTTCCATTGCAGTTAAGTAATACAGCTTGGTCACCTTCCCACTCTAGCCTGCTGATTGGACAGTAAAGTAGCAGCAGATGAGGTCACGTCTGTGCCCTCCCCTCTTAAAAATATGATTAAAATGTTAACTAACAGCCATGTTTGAAGCATTAAAATGATATTAATGTTAAAAGGTTTTTAAGTTATTTCAAATGCTGAACTAGGCACTTACAATGAATGCTGCTCCTTGATGTTTAAAAGTTTTAGTTTCCTGCAGAATAATCTGGTCCCCTGAGCACTGGCCATGATATCCTGTTTTAGGGTGGCTCCTTTCCCTTTCAGAGTCCTATGGAGCCATCCTTGTGTGTGCTAGTAAGCTGTGTGTATCTCCACACACACACAGGCAAAGCAAGGCAAGCCAATCCCCTGCTTCCTCTCTTCCTTCTTTTCCCTTCTTCAATCTAGTAGATGAGCTGCTGCTGGAGACTGCTCTGTCCCCTGTGATCGTGTACTGGACAGGAAGTTAGGGAAAATGAAGTTGCGAGACTTGGAACCAGCTGTTTGGAATCATGATGACTGTAAGTGCTCGGGCAGAAATGTAAAGAAATACTTTGCTGGGAAATGTAAATGTGTTTGATCTGGATTAATTTTTGAAAGGAGGTTTGAGATTTTTGGCTGACACTGTTGCCTTTCCCACTCTCAAACTATTTCTTCACAAGGTATAACAGAAGGATATATTAAGATAGATTCATATATTTATACTAGTTATATGTAGAAATTGTAGAAATAAAAATCTTATTTTTACTGAATACATGTAATCTGGCAAACTAGATTTATTTGAATTCCGTCGAAGATACTATAGTCTTACATCTGTTGCTATGAGTTCATCAGCATCATCTATGGAGGCGACAGTGACTTCTCCTTGTGAGATGTAGGAATAGTCATATGGATTGTTCGTAATCAGAAGCATATCTGCCAAAATGAAAGTTGATCGAAATAAAGTAAGATAATAACCATTAGATATGTCCTTTTACCAGACCATTATGAACAAAGGTGCTTAACACAGACAGTTTCTGTTCTGAATTATCAAAATTCTGTTGCTAAATAACATTTGCATCATATCGACAAAAGTAAGACCCACCTAGAAGCTCTGGCTTCTTATTGGATAAGATCTGGTAAAAGATGTGATAATCCCTCTCAGACTTCAGCTGAAAGACAACACGAGATTTCTCCAGAAGATCTAGACAGACAGACAAAATGATATCAGTTAATCACAAGCATTTGTAGCTTAGCATATATGAAATTTGAGAACTATTTAAATAGACTTTATATTGTTGGACAATGGATCCAACAATATGAAGGGACAGAAAGGAAAAGAAACTTACAGGTTTCTATGTCAGCAGAAGCCAGCTTCCCGGAGGCACCAAAGTGGATCCGGATGAATTTACCCTGAGCAATGTGAAAGATGACAAGGAGAAAGACAGAGAAATAGAGATCAGGATAGAATTGGAATCAACAGCTCAGGAGAAAGGAACATCAAGGAGACAGAGCAACTATGAGACAGAAATGTGGAAAATAGGTGAAGCAAGGTATGTATACAGATGCACAAGAAATGGATAAAAGAATGTTGTTGCAGTTCTACTCACAAAACGTGAAGAGTTGTCATTTCGGACTGTTTTAGCATTACCAAAAGCTTCCAATGCAGGGTTGGCTTGGATGATTTGATCCTCCAGAGTTCCCTGAAGAAATCATAATATCACTCATGAGTAGGTATTCTAACACTATTTAATACTCCTATGCCCCATAATTTACTTCTACTTGGTATTAAATCAAAGGCAACATAATCAGTATAAATAGTTTAATGTTAATCCTTGATGTTTAAAAGTTGTAGCTTTCTGCAGCATCAGCTGGTCCTTTTGCGTTTGAATTTTGCGTTACCGAGAATTCGCATGCATCCGAATGTTCGAATCCCCCCCCCCCCCCAAATAAAAATGTGGGGTCCCCCTCAAAATTCCTACCAGACCCATAAGGTTTGGTAGGAATTTTAGGGGGGACCCCATCTCCCCAAAAAAAGCGTGGGGTCCTCCCCAAAATCCCCTACCAGGCCCTTGAGCCAAACAGCAGCCTGGCAGAGCAGGAAAGGGAGGAACGATCGTGCTCCCCCCCTGCACCATACCAGGTCACATGCCCTCAACATGGGGATGAGGACAATGACCTCTTCCCCACAACCCTGGCTCCCCTTCCCCTCGTGTGAATGAGTAAGGGGTAGTTGCTACCCCTACTCTTTCACCAAATAATAGGGAAATAGTAAAAAAACACACCACGATATGCTCAAAATGTTAAAGTGCAAAAGTGTTCAGTCTACAAGAAAAGCTTCAATCAGTGTAAACGTTATCAGTCCTTCAGTCATGGTAACAACATTGGTGTATTGTTGGTGTATCCCCTCGTATTACATCTATTGACCGTGTCTTCACCCGTGGGAAATAACAATATCTGCCTCTCACATTATGGATAGAGCTTGCTGACACAAGGTGGAATTGAGGAGTCTGTGGACGCGCTGTCTGTGTGAGAGTCATAGGAGCACTTGTACTTTGCCATTGATTGATCGTATCGAATGTGAGTAGTTTTACAAATAAAGGGATGTTTTATGGTAATCAAACGGTCTGTGGGATGATCTATATTCTTTTTTAATGTCATTGTGGATGAGCAACACCAACTGGATTAATTGGGATTAAACATTGGAGGATTCTGTGAAATAATCCTTGGACTGATTAAGGGCAGGAGAACCCCTTCCTGGCTACAAACGGGGTAACACGCTGATGACCTTCTCTCTGAGAGGTCTATCCATAGATGTAATACGAGTGGATACACCAACAATACGCCAATGCTGTTTATATGACTGAAGCACTTTATGTGGACTGATAACGTTTACACTGATTGAAGCACTTCATGTGGACTGAACACTTTTGCACTTTAACACTATATTACTGTGGATGACCACAAAGTCACATTAATACATTTGTTGTCATATTTTATATAGACATTTGTTTATATGCACCTTTGCTCATGCATAGTTCATGTGCGTTTATTTATATAGAAGTTCTTAATAACTAGATTGGGATTTATTTTTTCAAACATTATTGTGCAGATGTTAGGAGACAGATTTGGATAATATTTTGTGTGACACTTTGGTTTACAGCGCGACACAATTATTTTAATAATTTTTAATAATATTATCATATTGTTTCAGTGTTGCTGTGTTGGCAATGGGTTTATTTATATTTGATGATAACTATAAGTGCTACGGCAAACATTTCAAGAAATACTTTGCTGGGCAATGTATATTTGTTTAATCTGAATTCATTATTGAAAACAAGTTTGAGAGTTTAATACTACTAAAAGACAACAAACTTTCTCAATTAGTTTAGATTTATTTATTAAATATGTCAATAAACCGAAACCTCTTAATGTCAAAGGATAAAACTATTTCCTATAGGTTCACAGATTATAGTGTCCAATATAATATTCTCAGCATGTAGATGTTGTGTCCAACCCAGGTAGAGAGAGCTCCTTTCTCTACCCGGGTTGGGTGGTGGTGTCTGCAGGAATTCCCCTTTGTAAGGTATTACCTGCATGCTCAGATCTCATTGCTGACCAATTACGATTTCCGGTTTAGTGCCACATCTGAAACACGGGGCATAGCTAATTATACTTGTTTTAATGGGCTTTTGTGATGCTACGCAGTATGTACATATGAAGTTGGTCTAAATGAGGAGATGGACTTCTCAAGTCTGGTGGACTTCTCAAGTCATGCAGGTGGACTTTTCAAGTCCACCTACATGGTGCATGGATGAAGAACATGCACCATGCAAGTGGTGCATGTTCTCCGTCCAACATGTTCCAAGAAACAAGTTGGATGAACATGCAGTATTTATGCTAATATATGTTGAGAATATCATATTGGGCACTATCATCTGTGAACCTAAAGAAAATGGTTTTAACTTTGGATACATAGAGGCTTCTTTTTATTGAAATTATATTTAATAAAGAAATATAAAGTATTTTGAAAATTTTGTAATTACTGCATGCCACATAATGCCCGAAGCTATATATATTGATAACGTGTGAACATTTATGGAGATATGATATGTGGTAATATAAATATTTCCCATGACCCCTATTTAATACTTACTATACTATTTTGTTAAATAATGGTAACATTGTTTCAGTGAGCAGTTTGGTAGTATGTTTATTCCATTTATTTTTTGTTGTGCTCTTAGCCTGTTTTGCCTACACCATCTCTATATTCTCTCAATCTTCTTGTTTTACTTCATAGATTTCCCTTACTTTAATTGCCTCTCCCCCCCCCGGCCCCCCTTGTATTCCCCATCACCTTGTTAGCACTAGCTGAATCCTTTTTTCCACCAATGGCTGCAATGCTGGCAAAGTACTGGATGACACGCTTGGTGTTTACAGTCTTCCCGGCACCAGATTCTCCACTAAGTAGGAAAACATGGAGGCAGCATTAACATTTTAGGAAAGCAATAACATACCTTAAAGCTAGTGATGCAAAAAACTTACGTGATTAGGATGGACTGATTCTCACGATCTAGGAGGAAAAAGAATACAAATACTTTAACACAAATAATTTGCAAAAACTACACCCATAGTATATGGCTATAGACTATCATCTTCAGCAGAGAGCAAATTATAAATTATACTAGATAAACAATCCAATAGTATAAAAAATGTGTAGTGAAGCTTCGGCACTCAAGCTGTTGAGAAACTACAAGTCCCAAAGGAACTCTGACAGCCATAGGCATGACTTCAAGAGCCAGATGCATGATGGGATTTGTACCACAGCTGGAGTTCCAAAGCTTGGCTACCTCTGGTATGGACAGTAGTCTAACATCCCATATTTATTATTGTAGTAAACAGGTTGGGCATTGACCAAGCTATCTGACCTGTCAGCATGTACTGATAGGCGTTGTCAGAGATGGAGAAGATGTGAGGTGGAGCTTCACTCCTCTTCTTCCCACGATAAGCGTTTACAACCTCTGCATTATACACAGGGAGCCACTTGTAGGGGTTCACTGTCACACAGAAAAGTCCTGAGTATGTCTAGTAGAACAGAGAATAATACAAATAATGTACATCTGCATCTACGTGAGACAGATAACTGAGACACGCAACAGACATTTAATAGTTCACTGAATACATATAGGATAAAATCTGTAATATTTTTAATATTGTAATCTCTTACATAGATCATCCAGGCTGCATAACGCTCTTTGAGGTTGTACAGCACAGCTGGTTCATGCAGGAAGGTCAGCATAGCCATATCTTCAATTTTATCAAATTTGGGTGGATTTTGCTGGTGGACATCACTTTCCTTCACAGTGACAGTCTAGACAGAACCATAAAATATATAGAATTACTGACCCTGCATTTCTTATACAGAGAAAGAATGATTTTTTTCATAGAAATAATACAGAGAGAAATACAAAGACTAATAGGAACCCTGTACTGAGCTTTGCCATACCTTGCCAGATACAGTTTCAGCAGTCACTTTGCCACCTTCACGGCTTGTGATCTTGGCTTTCACATACTCTTCTTGGGGATCTGGCACAAAACACTCTGTCTTGATGTCAAAAAGACGTGTCTGAGCCTCTAGGCGCTCCCTGTCAGACTTTCGAAGGTACGAAGCAGCTGCCCCAAAGTCGGCCATTAGTCCATCACCCATTTTGAAGTCTAAAAAGAAAGGCAGAATTAGGAGTATATCATACACAATGTTACACATTTACATATTACATGGGCATGTGTGCAATATTGCAATAGCACTTTCTTTTGAAAAAAACACATCAAAGTCCATTGAGGTCTTGAGCTAACCTTTAATACATACTTATACCTTCAGTTTTTAAATCCGGTAATTAAAAAAAAAATCAAACAATAGATAAATGGATGTAAAGGAAACTGCCTGAAGATAATATAATGTGAGCATTCAGCAGGTAAATAAAGAAAAGACACATTTATGCTTGGGCACCATTGCAGCATGTGTCCCTGTCACACAGGAACCCCATACAGTTATGTCTCTTTATGTTTTTGTTATAGACAGGAAAAGGTTCAGCTAAGTAAAGTGTGTTTCTAACAGGGTTATTCACAAAAGGGTGAAGAGTTTGGAGAAGGCAGGAGAAGAGATCAATCTAGGACAACATAGCTGATGTGGAACATTCTCTAATTCAGCTCACTTTCCAGTTCGGCTATGTTGTCCTAGATTGTTCACTTCTCCTGCCTTCTCCAAACTCTTCACCCTTTTGTGAATAACCCTGCAAGTATCTGTCTGAGACACCGTTCACACCTGTGGGACTTGAAGCACAATTTGAATCTTCACCTAAAGTGCTTTAACATTTGGCACTAGGATTTCCATTATAGTCAATGGTGCCTTTTAACAGCTGAGCGCAGTGTCACTTGAAACTATAAGCTCGTTACTTCAAAAAGTAATTGCAAATTTTTGGCCCCAATAGACTTCAACGGTATAACCAGAAATATGTGTTTTTGTGTATTTTCTTGCCAAGTAACTAGCTTCCCATTAGCTAAAAAAATTAATAATTGAAAAAAAGTCTAAAATGCGCTTAGAAACACAGAAAAACCTGCGTACAAATGTTAAAAAAGCTTGAAAAACAACTAAAGCTCAAGTGTGAATAGAGCTGTACTATGGACTAATTAGATTAATGAATGCTTGGTATGTTATCATTTTACATTCACATTTATTGTGAAATGTACTGACCAAGTCTACAGTGGTAACATAATACTGTATTCTTAATATTGTAATTAGTATGACTATTGCTTGATATTTTGTCCAGTTGTGTTTGCCTGTTGGTTGTTAACCATACAGAACTCCACATTTATGATCAGGATGCTACTGGAAGTAAATGGAGTTAATGCATGATTAGAAACAGTTTACCTTACCTTGTTCTCAACACAACAAGCAGAAAGAGGTCTTGTTCTGGGCAAAAAGAAAAAGCACATTACAATTTGGCAAGGGAAGGCATATGACAAGTACTCAGCAGGAAGTTCCTGGAAGTATCTATTGTAGAGGCAGTCTTGGGAATAATAGCTAATGTAAAACATTTTAGAGGAACATGAGATAAGAAGTGGAGCCAAGTGATAAAAGGATGCAGATACAGAATAAGGGCACAGCATTATTTATAGGACAGTAAAGATATGGCGTCAGCGCAAGACAGATAATTGAGGTGTTGGAGATGAAATGGAACATAGTGGACTAGGCAGCACATCTTACACTTATTTAAGACCATGCTGGAACCACATAAAAATATGACTAAATATAATCAAGCAGACATGGATTTTTTTAACACCTTATAGTAAATCCTTTCTACATCGACACAAGCTATGTCTTCAAAATACTTTGACATATGTAGTTATGAGAAGAAGGAAGTACTAAGAATAATATGGAAGTCCTGGTGGAAGGCATACACCTTAGAGAGGACATGTTTAATTTATAATGACCATACCTTAGCCAGGTATATCATTTTAATAAAGAATATGTGCCACTTGTGATGTTGTCCCTTTTTCCTATGGAAATATCACTCATGGTGATGAATGAGCATGTTAGATTATATGTTACACCACTTCTAAAGACTAATTATGATGATTTTCCAGTGTATTGCTGAACGTCCCCTCCTCTCTCTGCTGGCGTCACCAAGATGGCAGGTGTCAATCAGATGGCCACGCATGCATGATGACGCCATTGTGCACGCGCAATGAGGACGCAGCGGGTTGTCACCCAGTCTAGAGACCGGTTGACATCCAGCCTCGGGACGCCCCTGTCTGGGAGTCATGTCTGTGGCTGTCAGAGTCTTGCAATGTCTTATGGGATTTACAGCTTCACTAAAGCTGGAGTGCCAAGGTTGCCTACCTCCAGGCCCGCCATTAGGGGGGTACGGCCGATACTCATGTAAGGGGCCTGGGCAGCCTGGGTGACCCGCCCAGGACCCTTACATGGGTATCGGCCGACGGTGACAGGCGAGGAGAAGGCAGCCGGGCTACCCGCAGTGCCGCAGGAGGCCTTGCCCTAGCAGCGCCGGGCCCCAGCATTGCCGATCCAGCGGTTTCAGAGGAGGCTGGGGCCCCATCAGCGCCGCCGCTGTTCTGCTCTCTGACCAGCCGGAAGTGACATCACGTCACTTCCGGCCAGTTCGGCAGCAGAGGAGGCCAGGTGTACAGGCACCAGCAGCAGGAGCAGGTAAGAGGAGCTGGGAGGGAGGGAGATGCAGCCCTGACCAGCCCACCTGAGACCCCTGCAGAGCCCACCATAGTCTCAGATAGCTGTGCAGCATCTATGGTGGGCTCTGCAGGGTCACTCTCAGGTGGGCTGTGTGGGGTCTCAGAGTCCAGCTCGTTACTAAGCCCTGTGTCAAGCGTGTTACTAAGCCCTGCGTCTAGCCCATCACTAAGCCTTGAGTTCAGTGTGTCACTAAGCCCTGCGTCCAGGGGGTCACTAAGCCCTGAGTCCAGCGGGTCACTAAGCCCTGAGTCCAGCGAGTCACTAAGCCCTGAGTCCAGCGGGTCACCAAGCCCTGAGTCCAGAGGGTTACTAAGCCCTGAGTCCAGCAGGTCAATAAGCCCTGAGTCAAATTCATATACTGTTTTGCATTGCTGTATAAATGTATTGCTGGGATTTGAAGTCCTCCTGCCATTCTGCATTAGAGTGTAAGCTCCTCTGTACAGACACTGATGTGACTGGCTCAGTGTTCTCTGTACAGCACTGCGGTATGTATCAGATGGCTGTCCTGCCTACCTCTGTTCTATTGCACGGTGTACCTTAGTTACCAGTGCTGAAAATGAAAAGTCATCACAGTGCATATAATATGAGGGTGCATGTTACATCTCACGCCTGTGCATTAGGCAGATTTAGTGACAATACACCAGACAGAAAGCAAGCTATAGAATATGTCGGTAACATTGCTGATTAAAAAAATACATGCTCTAAAAATATAGATAAGGATGCATAATTAGAGCTAAGTTCACTACAGAGAGCTCTGTATAACCCAAGTAATTAATATTAATTAACCAAAACATGTCTAGGGGCAACTACATTGAATCTTTCATCCTAGCATTCAAATAAATGAAAACTGGGGACAATTGGCTTACATATGGTGGTAATTACAAATATTGGGGTAGTATAACTATGCCTGTAAATCTTTAATGTAATCACACTGTTCCACAATATTTAATACACTTATGTGTAGCCTAATGAAAAATAACTTGTAAAATACACAATAAAATTTCTACTTTTAGTTCAGCTAACAGAAGCATAGTATAAAACAGCTGTGTCCTAAAGTTGGTGATGTAAGCTGGCCATACATTATACGATATGATGCAATGCAACCTCCTTCAGATGTATCATGAACTATGTAGTTCAAGGGTCTTAGAATTTCAATGGATTGTTTGGTTTGTCCTCATATTACATGGTTTTGGTAACTCTATAGAAGATTGTATAGTGTATGTCCAGCTTTACATTGTATAAATTAACAGTCTATGTTAATTCAATATGTTTTTCCTAGAATACTTAATTACTTCAGATAAAAAAAGAGCATAGGCTGCAGAGAAGTGGGTTTCTTTATGTATTAGGACATCAATAAGTACTGATTGTTATTATTATTAACAATAATACTATTATACAGGATATATATAGCGCCAACAGTTTGCACGGTGCTTTAAAAAAGGGAGGCAGTACAGTTACAATATAATATAATACAGGAAGGTTAGAATGACCCTGGTTTTGATCACTCCAATTATTATTTTACTACTATGATTAGTAATATCAACATATACAGGAATAATAAAAAAAAAATTTTTTTAAATGATGACATGGCTAACAAGGAATGTACTGCATATTGATGGTAAACTAAGTACATTGATAAGAATTTGTGTCTAATTAAATGTAATTTGTTTTCATTACTGTTACCAATGGCAAGCTATTCAGTTACCTATGTCTACAAAGGAGCATGGGTACAAATGCTTAGATAATCAAATTGTATGTCTACCAGTGCAGAGGAACTGCATTGCTTTCTGTATCTCATTAGAACATCTGGTAGAGTATGCACTATGTCTGCAGAGTGTTGTAGTTATTTTGAGCAATGTCATGTAACAGGGATATAACTTGAGTCGGAAAGCACTGCAGTTATTTGGCAACAAGAAGTGTGTGTCATTATTATCCTGCGATAATAGCTCTAGAAGATCTGCCTGACCTAAATCTCCTGCTCATCTCTTTATAATGATGTGTTTTTGGTGTTTGGTGTTATCCTTGCTCCGATAAAACACTACTAACAGGTGAACCTGCCAGGTAATGCAAAATACTTGTAGCTGTAAAAAAATTTGGATGTCTAAGGTTAGGTATATAAAATGAAAGGTGTGAGCATATTTTTACCGGTGCACAATAATGCCTGCTTACAATTATTTATATAGTGCCTACATATTCCGCAGCACTGTACAATGGTTTTGATAAGACAAGTAAGAAACACTGACAGGCATCACTGACAAACAGAAACAGTAGGTGAGGTCCTGCCCAAATGAGCTTACATTCTATAGGAAGGGGGCCAAAGACACAGGTGGGGAAGCGGAGACTACATATGTTTACCAAATAAAAAATGAGGGGATTTGGGAGCATGTGAAACGAGAGCAAAAGGGAAGGTTGTATAGGGTGAGAAATCAAGGGGAGAG